TTCCTTACATATTCAATATATTTGATTATATTCAGTCATTTTAATTTTAATACAGCTTTAAATTTCACTTTTAGTTAATTGTGTTGCTTATTTTTTGCTAGTTACAGTTTGTTTTTTATTATGTGGAAATATCCATTTGAATTACGCAGTTTTAACATAAACAAACTAATAAACTTAATGTTATGCATATTTGTCTGTCATACATAAATGAAACTGTAAGATTTCTGCACTCCCAAAAATCATGGCACAGTTTATTTTTAACTACTGGTATCGATTTGATTTGATTTAAATAATAATATTTTCAAAATACATTTATTCAGACTGCTTAGAATCAGCATAAATCTGTTCCTTGTGAAAACAATTAAATTTATTCAGTTAAAAGGTATGAACATGGGTAAAGTATAGCTACTGTAGAACAACAACATTTTTAGTTAGTTAAAATGTATGAGATTGAAACAAATTGGATTTAGTGATAAATATATATTGATAAATATATAAATCTGATTATTGTGTATTTCAAAGTCAGTTTATTAGTACTATTAGAGAAATCGTGTTACATTTATGTATGTCTAACAAATATGAATGACTAAAAATATGTTTATGAGGAAATTACATATGCAATTTAAATACATACATGTTCAATTTAGGACTAAATATTTTTGGAATGTGAAAATAAAAATCTAAAAAGAAATACATCCACATAAAAAAGAATCAAACTGATTAAAATGAAATTTAAAGCAATAATAAAATAAAAATCAATCTGAATCTGCAAAACTGTAATAACCCCTTGGGGCACTTAATCTATTCCATTCCATGAGAACATGTCTGTCAGGCCGTTGTGATACCTATATGGGCCTGGCAGCAATGAAGCCTTTACTGCACTGGAAACCATCCCCTGACAGGCAGGCTTCAAAACCAAAGAGGTCCAACCATCATGCACATGTTCCCAGTATGAGCTTCAGTAATGTGGACAGCACATGAGAACAGGTCCATCTCAAGTCACCTTATAAGTCAGAGTAATGTGGGACTTTGGTGCAACCCTTTGGCACAACCATGCCTGAAACAATTTAGGTGAGTTCATTTTATGGACCTAAACCTTTATTTCCCATGACAGAATTACATTCAGATTAATGGAATTACGATATAAATGCCCAGCAAAGTCTTACAGGCAAATACACACAGATGTGATTCATCCTCAAAGTTCATCTGCAAATACCGACAAGTGATGAATCCCTATCACAGGGAGCAGAGATCTCACGCGTGCACTGCCTCGGCACAGCTGCTCTGTCCGGGGTTAGGATCCACAGAGTCGCTTCCAAGGAGTTCAACATCCAAAGAGGGAAGTTCAGAGAAGATTAAAGATGTCATGGAATGAAATAGTAGAAGTTTCTGTACTCCCTATAGCTCTCTCCTTGCTTTCTTTTTCTTCCATGTAAGATAGTAGTACACAGTTGGAACAAAAGGAATCACATGTGCCGAAAAACTTTTCGGAATTCCATCACGTTAATTATATTTTCCTAGATATAAAAGCTTTCACTTCTATGGCCTTTTGAATATTTATACACCAGTCCTATTTTACAAGCTATTTTAAGATTAAAATAACACTGCAGAAGGGTTACGCAAATATACAAAATGTTCACGATGAAAAGCCCCTTTTATAATTTGTTGTTCTCACAGATCATTTTTTGCGGCCATTAAATCAAAGTATAAACCACTGAAGCCATGAGTAACAGTCCAACAATGCGTCTTACCCACTTAATCCACCTTACTTCCAGCATTCTGCATCTTTTGTTAGCTGAATAAACGGCACCAACAAAGAAGAAGTCAGCCAGAGCTTCTTATTGCCTTTGGACGGTGATCCCTTTAAGAATAAGGGTGTACAGTGTTCGGAAACAGAAGACGCAGCTGGTTAAATTTAATATCGAATGTATCTGGGCCAGTATCAGATGCTACATCAGCCCTGAGGGGTGACAAAACATGCAAACAACACAACAGGAGGCTGCAACTAAAATGTACTCGATTCAAAAAGAATAAACTTTAGAAATATAATGAATTTTATAGGCTTAATATTAATGCACACACATTAAACTGCCCGCATTTGTGTTGTCACAACAACTCGAAAACAACACAAGTGTGACACTTCAAACTAAGCCTCTGCATATTGAGTTTCGTCTAGAGGAAGTGCATGAAAGACTATACCTTGTATACTCCTTTATAGCTTTTAACACAAAGCAAAGCACATACTTTCAAAATATGTCATGAAACGGAAGGACCCACCCAGGTCTTACCTGCACTCCATTCACAGAGAGAGAAGGCGAATGGGTGCAGAGGATATCATTACAATTAGATAGGAAACATGGTTGGACAAATCCCAAAGACCATCAATTAATATCTGAAAGCTTTATTGTGTTGGTGGTCGGAGGTTTAACATTTTTAAATGACACCGTTGCGAAGGTAAAAATCCTGTAGGCCGCACATAAACATTAAAGGATTTAAACGTTTTATGCAACATCCAGTTCTTTAACAACAGGCGCTGAAATGAAACACAACACAACACGCCCTCTCCTCATCCTTAAATTAGTATGCAATGACTCATTCAACAGGAGGCTGGTGCTGAGTTAATCGTCTATGATTTACAACGCTTCCTCCCTAGAACTTCACGTCGACCGCCTATAGTACTGAGTGTTGAGGAAAAGCTGGCGAACTTGCAGAGCTGGAACCCCAAGTACTATTATTCATAAACATGCATTATTACTGCATGTCCTCACTCTAACCCTCTAATACAGCTCTCAACCCTGAGGAGACAGGCACCGAGTACAAAGTCTTTATCACCCTCCACTTTCACCTGAGGGAGCAGGTTAGAGAGGGGGAAAAAAATGACTTACGGTAATGCAATGTGAGCCAAACTAGACTGGCAGCCAAAGAGCTTTTCAATACCATGAATATGGATGATTCAAAACCTGACAGCACAGCTGGGATTTTCATTTTTCTATTTGTTTAGTAGCCAAAAGTTTGATTTCGTGGAGATTTCATGGATGTATCTGTTCAATGTGAGTAGTGACAGGTCTGAAACTTTATTGGCACGGTGGTCTGTAGTCGAAATCGATAACTCAAATTATGCATAAAATAATATATTAAAAAATGATAAAAAAAATAAATGTGTGCTACAGGACTGTAGTTGCTTACTGATTGATTTTATTATTTTAATAATATCCTTAAGTCCAGTTTTAGTGTTATTGAGAAGTAAACTGTTCATAACCATCTGTTTCATTGACAGATCTCATAAATGTATGACATGTGGCCCTCAGATTACACTTGAACCCTTTTCATTTTGTGCCGCTTATTTTTTCATTACATTGTGGATATTCATTTCAAACTTGTCCTCAAAATGTCAAAACTTATCGGTCTAATAGTATAATTCATATGATATAAACAGCTTTACAGACCATTAAAACAATGTTCACAGATGTGTTGGCTCTCCTGGTGCCATATTTATTTTTTTTTACCTTAAGGCGGTTGTTGAAGCATTGAATAAATGTAACTTTATTAAAGGTAAATAATGTTGTTTTCGCACCAAAATAGTGAGCAGTACTGGAACAAAATTACTTCCGTATTAAAAATTGAGGTTTGCCCTGATATGACGTTTTTATACTATGACTAATAACTGATAAATGCATGGCCGATATTGGTATTCTACACTATTTTGTGTCGAAAAAAAAAGTAAAACCTAAATAACTACTAAAAATGATCTGTTTTAAAAATGACAAAAAATTATATTCACTTTGAGATTTTAAAGGGGTCATATAATGCTACATGCACTTTTACAAGTTGTTTGAACTGAAATGTGTGTTGGCAGTGTGTGTACACAACCATCCTAAAATGATAAAAATCCACCCGAATGAAGCTAAAGTAAACAGTCTCTCTGAGAGCGGCTCGGAAGAGAGGGGCGGGGGCAACAGAACTCATTAACATTTAAAGGAAAATGCTACAAATCTGAATGCTCTGAAAAGAGCTGTTTTTGACAGGGTTTTTACACTACCATTGAGAAATTTTAACCAAAATATGTTACAGACTCTTCATTAAGACCCTAAAGAATCATATCAACTTGTGGAAAATGGGCATCCCATGACCCCTTTAAAGATAAGATTTAAAAGATTAAAAAAAAATCCTCTGCTATTGGACAATAACCAACATGGTACTGATATATTGGCATCCCTATTATAAACATAATTAGGAAAAGAAAGAAAGAAAATTTACTTATTTTGCATTAAAATGTATCAAGTCACTGTAAAAACAATTATAAAGTCACAAAATATTTGTATTTCAATTTAAACTTTCTATTCTTAAATAAAATCTTTAAAAAATGTTCCATAGTTTCCACCAAAATATTAAGAAACTGGTTTTAACATTGATAATAATAAGAAATGTTACTCAAGCACCAAATCAGCATTTAAGAATGATTTCTGAAGGATCATGTGACACTAAAGACTGAAGTCGTAGCTGCTGAAAATTCAGCTTTGCATCACAGGAATAAATTATAATTTAAAATATATTAAAATAGAAATCAGTTATTTTAAATTGTAATAATATTACTGTTTTTACTGTATTTTTAAATGAAGCCTTGGTGAGCATAGAGACTTAAAAAAAATATATATATTATAAAAATCGAACCGACTCCAAACTGATTCACTATTCCAAATGAGAAATTGAATGGAAGACTGCCAGTTTAAAATTTCCTCTAGAACACATTAAGTAGATGGAATGTGTGAAGTTTGTTTGTTTGTATGTTTAGAGTGTGAAAGGGAGAGATGAAAGTCGTGCTCACAGCTCCAGGCCCAGGACATTCCACTGCACCCCTCCCACTACATGACTTCATCAACGCTCCTTAGCTGGAAGATCAGACATCCACCAGCCTGCCAGCCAAACCTCAAGATTTCAAATTAAAGAGCCTTGCTTTCACTCTTAAACACACATGCACATACACACACACACACACACACACATCCCGTGATCTGCCAGTCAGACGTGCACAAGCACACAACCTGATACACAAATCTATAAAAACAACAGCGAAGACTAAACAAAAAGGTCAATAACCTTGATCTCGACGTGTAAACCGTCCTGTCATGTGTCACTCACACAGAGTCAGCATGCATTTTACACATGGCAGATCTCCACATGCGTGTGATGTTTACGGAGCATTCTTTATACAAGTGTGAAATCTCACAGGAATTTAACTGCTACATTTGACAGGCACTAGTGTACAACGCTAGATGAAGTCTGAACATATGACCTCAATCGAAATCTATGTTGCATACAGGAGAAACCCAAGATGAGCAGAAGTGAAGGACAGCATTAAAGGGATAGTTCACCTAAAAACTAACAGTAATTTCATTGTTCCAAACCTGTACGACTCGGTCTTCTGTTGAACACATAATAAGATATTTTGAAAAATTAAAGTCAGTAAGGTCCAATGTTGTTTTGACTTTCACTATGTAGACAAAAACGGCTGTTTTTTTGGGTGAGTTATGTCTTTATTGTGTCAGCCTTGGCTCCCATGGATGCTGCTGACATAATATGGCCTTCAAATTGTGTTCCATTGCAAATGAGCCTCTTTATTTCAGACAGTGCCGCTCGCACCCAAAAACCACATTGCTCATTTGACATTTATGGCCCAAATCTGCAAATCATGAAGCTTTACCATGGTCATAAAGGTCCAGAGACCAGTGGAGCCACATACAGTATACAAACTGGAGAGAATGTTTGCAAATAAAGTGGTGTGCCGGCTGATCGTTATCAACCTTTCACAAATAAAGTAATTCAACAGACTGCTATTTTTTTTTAAATTTTCATATGATTAAGTTTTTTTTCTGGGAGGAAATGGATTATTATTATTTTGGGCCAAATATTTAATGTTCCCATTATTCGAGCAAGCCTATAAACAAATGCGTCAGGAGCAATTCATCGTACTTACAATAACATTCTGACATTTTCCCACAGTGTGGCCAGGGCTGGCAGTAGGGCCAAGGCTTCCTTTGTACTCCTGAGAGCTGTCAGACCCTAAGACCACCACAGTGCAGAAAGGTAGAGACAGAGGGAACACTGTCAGGATTGAACAGTACTGTACCGATCTGGGGTGCGTTTCCCAAAAGCATCGTTAGCTAACTATGGTAGTTAGTTCCACTGAAATCTATTGGTAACAACAGAACTTGCGACCATAGTTGCTTTTGGGAAACGCACCTCTGTTTAACAAGCACAGAACATTAGTGTTTAATGTAGTAAAAATGGTTATGCGTGCAGATCCTCAGCTGGTAGAGCATGGCGCTGGCAACACCAAGGTCAGCCGTTCAATTTCATGGACATGGACTGATAAAATATATATATAAAAAAAAATTTACTTCAGATAAAAGTATCTACCAGTTAGTGTATTAACTTTGGCAGCCCTAACATAATACAACTAAAATAAATAATATTGACAAAAGCCAAAGCACTTAACACAGGGAATACATATGAAAGTACTTTTATCATAAGCAAATTCCTTTGCAGTTACATCCTCAATCACTAGGGACACGTGGCATGACGTAACCAGAGAACATGAGTCGAACATAAATCGTAAGTGCTGATAGAAAGCCTCTTCACATGCTGTACTTCATCATACAACAAGCTTCTCGAGACCCATCTGAAAACTTGTCTTATTAACAGAGTAAGAAACATCTTTTGCTCCCTGCCATTCATCATATCTGAGGCTCTGAAATGGTTCAGAACGGAAACGGCAATGCATCACAGAGAAACCGATCTGAGCCATTTTAGGAAACCATTAGTGAAACGAGCGATGGTGCAGATTGTGTCATGGCCGCTTCCTTGTTTCAACTCTGCCGGCTGCTATTTACAGCGTTCTGATAATTGTTCGGAGGCCAAACACCAGCCAGCAGATACATATCGTGAAAGAACCCAGTTGGGATCAAGTTCAGTCCAGTCCTTTGTAATTACAGCGAGAGACAAAGAAGCACACGTAAAAGACAGGCAAACAAATATAAGGGCACGCGTACGCAGGATGTCAGAACTGACGCACACATGCACATCCTAACTATTATACACACACGCAGGGCCTCATCAATCACACTTTCTCTGGGGGGTCCGCGTGGCCAAAAGCAAATGTACATTGTGCAATTGGTCCTGTGTAGAACTTGAATAATAGTTCACAGTCCCAGAGCCTCAGCCTGGGTTGGGACTGTGCCTAAATGTTCCTCATGAAATCAAGTGGCGTACAGACATTTCTTCTCTTTGCTTTTCTCACCTTTGTCTAACCCAAGACCTTCATCCTCACTTTGCCGGTTCGTGAGAAAAAACTAACCCAATTGACATGCCGGCACCAAACAGCCTCATTGGATTGAATTTTATTAGCTCATTTATTAGCTCATCTTAGCGGGAGTTCTAAACAATAAAAGCCTTCGGTTTTCGCACAGAGAACTGAACCGTAAGTGTGGACATGTTACACATTGCAATGACTTTAAAAGGTGGAGAACATTTGCAAATGTCATCTTGTGGTGGTGGATTTGTTGATTCACCAAGACAACACTGGATTCTTCTGTTTTCAATGAAGAGAGAGAAAATAAAGTGCATTATGAGTGTGTGTGAGATGTTCATCCATTCCTGCATTAAGCTCTTTAACCTCAGCTCCCTAAAGACTATCCTCCTTGAAGCACCCCTAAAAAAGCCAGCTATTTAACTCTACAGATGAAACACTCCACTTTAAGAGTACCGAGAATCACTTGGGCTTTGTGATTGTTACATTTGCAAACCATGACCTTTTTTCCCTCATATATACATTGTATATGACATCCCATAATAAATGTCTTTATGGAAACAGAGGAAACTAGAAACAGACATTTAGAGTTAAGGGGATGAAGCTGTAATCAGAATAATTTTAATTGTAACCTTTAGAACTGAAAACGTATTTACAGAGATTTAAAGTCACAAAGAAATGGAAGTAGTGACAGATCTTTTCTTCCGTACCATGACATCCATCTGAGTGAAATATAAGGCAGGGAACTGGTTCATTAGAAAGTTTGTTGATTGGACGGAAGCAGATCTGAATGCAAACTTACAGGCGATTGTAAGAAAGGGTGAGGTTTAAGCAGACTAAATGATTGGAAATGTCTGTTGTTTCACTGGAAGTTCAAGTTTTTGGTTTAAATATGATTTTCTAAAATTAAACATGCACGCATGAATTGTTCACAATAAGACCAATAACATGCATTTCAAACATTTTAATTTCATGCCAACTTTAAGCAAAAGTTTGTCCAAGGAGGAAATTCAGAAACATTATAAGAGCAGGAGATGGGCCATTTAAACATATGAGGGAGAAAACTAAATCATCACGATCATCACGGTCATCACAAATCAAGTAGCTACAATTTATGACACAGTTGTTGTCAGATAGCCCTGAATTTAGTAGATCTTTAATAGATTTGAAATTTTATTTTCTTCTTGACCAGCAGTTTTTGATATTTTGGTTATTTCCAATTCAAGTAGAAACAGGTATCATACAAGTATGAGCTGTACTAACATGTCTGGAAACAGTTGCCTAGAAGAGTTACAAATATAGGGACGGCGAGTGAACAGACTTGTCCTAAATTTACAAGGGGAAAGTGGACTAAAATACAGCTTACAAAAGTATAGTTCTGGCCCTAAAATTTGATTGGATGAGCCACATTGAAGTCACTGTAATCAAACCAATATATTAACTGCACATCAGTTTAATTCTACTGTATATTAATAAGCCAAGTTACTACTCCACTTGCATCTGTATGCCAAACAACGCCCATTAATTGTGGTAAAATCGCTTTACTGCACAGTCACTTGTTACTTATTATTTAATCTTATCCTTCAACATATCCTTTGATACACAGGACTAAACCCACAGCCTATTTAAGTTATGATGTTTACAAATCCTTTAGCCATGTAAAGTGGTAAATAACTCTCTCACTCACTTGCCAATAGGGATGGGTATCGTTAAGGTTTTAACGGTATTACTACTCTTACCGATACTGCTTATCGATTCGGTACTTTAACGGTATTCTTATCGGTACTTTTATATATATATAAATGCATATACAGTGTTGGGAAGGTTACTTTGGAAATGTAATAGGCTACAGATTACAAGTTACCCTATTTAAATGTAATAGTAGTGTAACTTTGTCAATTACTTTATTAAAGTAATGTAACTGATTACTTTTGATTACTTTTCTAAATTTCGATAAGAACCGTTAACGTCAGAGCTTATCGATACTCCGGTCTTTCATAATTTAGCCCCGGGACCGATTAAATACCGGGTTTCGGTACCCATCCCTACTTGCCAAACACAATCACATCACATCCTCATTTAAAAAGGAAGTTTCACTGCTCACAACTGACTCACAGGCTTGGAACTGAATGTGGTATATTCACTGAAGCTTATTAATGTATGTGTGATTAAGGAAATGAGTGTGTCACTGTGCACACACAATTACACAACGCCGAGTCCTTGTCTTTAATGGTAAATGCCTTGAGGATTTCGTTGAGTTGACACTGGCTCCTTTAAGGCTGAGATTATGCACTGTGCATGCCTATGTGGCTCCAAGGTCTGACTCCTGCCTTAAATGCGCCAATGCATCACTGCCTAGAGACTCAGACGCCATAAGAATAAACACAGTACAGTAAACACAGAAGTGCATTAGATAACACCTGAGAGAATGGATCTAGCTTGGACCTTTTTGTGAGTATGATGAAATTTATATTTAAAAAAGTGAAATATATATATATATATATATATTTCAAAAAGTGAAAGCTAAATGAATAGTGTTAAACAAGCATACAAAATGTTAGTAACATAAAACTAAACTTTCAAAGCAAAGAAAACAATTTATTGATGTTAAAATACTGAGGTTATAAAACTGACATGGAAGTTACTTTTTAAATAAGATGGAGCACTTTTCGGTTCAAATATTTCTTTTATGTGTGCTCAACAAAGAGTCCAAGTACAACTCACAGCATGAAGACTTGGAGCTTGTGCTTGAAATCTCTCGACAGCTCACCTCTGCAACCCACTTTATGAGCAGCAGCATTCTTGTGTCCTTTGCGCAACAATTACAAATCATTCTCCAATTTCAGTGTCTCTGTCAAAAAAACATAGTAGGTTATCAGCTTGTGTGAAATTAGTCTACCCCCTCTCTATTCGGGCAAGCAGGAAAACCACAGATTCATTGGCACTGAACCTTAATGGAAATAATGGTGGTGGTATATTTAAATGAGCAGACTACAGCCATGAGGGCCATTGTTTATGTCTGCGGTGCAGGGTAAATAGCCCGTCATTTATCTCAGCTCTTGTTTGTTATAAAATGCAGCTCTGCTGTTGATTATATCTGGGCAGACGGGGCCCATTCACTGCTGGTACTCACATTTAAAACAGCCCTCTAATACTAATAAGTCATTGTTCTGCCTATGTCTTATGTACTATACTGCTGTTGTAGGTAGCCTATATATATAGTATTAAACACATTCCTATTGCTTGTCATGTAACTTTCACTTTTTCATATTTCATGTACGTGGATGTTGGAACTGCTCAACGTCTATATTAAATTATGATCGTGGACACATGACACATGAAAATTATATCCTATTGGCTGGACAGTTTTTCTCTGAGAAGACAATGAAATTTTTTTTAACTTATCCTGCAAATACAATGTTATTTCATCGAAGGGAATTCAAAATATAGTCATGCTGAAAATTTGTCTAAAATATCATAAAAAAATAAGAAGGTAATTGTTAGATTATGTGAAATAAAGTGAGAAATAAATTCACAATTATTAGATTTAACCTTGTGCGCTCCTCATTTGGAAGTCACACACATGGTCTTCGCGGTCAAAAGTGACCGGACACCTGAAATGTAACTTTTTTTTTCTTCAGTAAAATCAATCCAATATATTTTTGTTAAATAATATGTTTTTCTTTTGTATTTTGACAGAATTTTATGGTACTAATTAATATTCATGCAATAATTATGATAAATTTTTCCCATTGAAAATAGTAAAAAAAAAATTCTAATTATTTAAAATTATTTTTCAATTAATGCAGTATTTCAGATTAAAATAGAGACTAGGCCTTTAAAATCCAATTTTTGAAGGCAGAATAGCACCTCCTGGTGAGAGCAAAAAAAAAAAAAGAAAAACTTTGTTTTTTTCCTGTATAGGACTCTATAGAGAGGCTTGTGAATTCCATAGTTGTTTTTATACATAATTGTTTATATTATTACATTCAAACCTGAACTCAGAAAGCATTTTGTAACACAAAACATTAAAATTCTACCAAAAAATAACAGGAATGCTTTATCAGAGCATAATCCTTCTGGGTCTGATTTGATTTTAACCTCTTATTTCAGTCTTCTGACTCATTTTGGCTACATGGTTATAGCCATACCAATTCATTTGAGTATGTATAATTCTGTATGTGTGTGTCTGTGAGTGTAAGTAAGTGTGTGTGTGTGGATGTATCTGTTTTACACTCTTGATGTTTTAGAGTGTAACCCGCCATACCAATTCATTTGAGTATGTATAATTCTGTATGTGTGTGTCTGTGAGTGTAAGTAAGTGTGTGTGTGTGGATGTATCTGTTTTACACTCTTGA